CCGCCGCCATCAACTATTGCAGAACTGTATTGTGTAAATGAGAATAGATTTGTTATTGTTGACCTGTTCTTACAAAAACCATGTTGTTCGTCCACTATCTGATGTTTGACGTGTGGTATAATATTATCGTATAGTAAAATTTCAAAAACTTTGGCAAAATTACATATAATAGTGATGGGTCGATAGTTCTCAATACAATTTTTTTACCTTTTTTAAAAACAGGACAGATTCTTGACCTCTTCCATGCATTAGGAAATGTACCAGTACGCAATGACAAATTAAATATTTTATTTAAAGGAATAGCTAACGCATGGGAACAATCGCGAACCATGAAGGATGGTATATTATCAGGTCCCTTAGTAAATTTAGATTTTAACTTTAATATTGCCTTCGACACATCAGATTCTTTAAATTCAGCTATATGTACATGTAAGTTATTTGATAAATCACTCTCAAAGTCAACATCAAAATTTGATGAATTACTGTAGGAATTTTTAAAGTAAGTAGCAAATCCATTTACAATATCCTGCATGTTTAAAAGATTTAAATCATCATAAGTCATAAATTCAGGTATTCCACCATCTTTCCGTTTAGAATTTACGTATGACCAAAAGTTCCCACTATTTCTTTTTATATTCTCTTGTAATGTTTTAACGTAGTCTTTATGTGCTTTCTCTACGTCCTTTTTAATTTTGGATCTTAGCCGTTTAAATTCTTCGAAGGCATTTAAATCATTATTGCGCTTAAACTTTTTTCGTGCTTTCTCTTTTTTTTTAAGAGGGTTCTATACCCGTCCGCCATATTGGAAATGTTAATGTTCAAATTGCGGGCTTAATACTCACCAAAAAAAATATCTTTTTTGTATCCGTGCTTCTTATGCATCGTAGATTGGCGCATGATAACTTTTTTTTTATAAACATAAAAAAAATAAAATGAAAAAAATATAAAACAAGTCATATACGTATAAATGTTATCATCCGCCATTCTTCATTTGCCACTGAACAACTTGTGTATTTACCATTTTTGAAAAAAGTAAGTAGTTTTTTCTAAAATTGAACATTGCATAAAAATTTCAGAGGGCACCGGGAGGTGCTGCCCCCAACGGTCCTCTTTTACGTTTGGATACCATGATAATCAATATTTTCTATGCCAGATGGCGCACCAGTCGCGAAAAGTATGTTCAGTTGCCTAAACTAATAAATATTACAGAGTTACTTTCCGATCGATGTATAAAATTGCAAACAACACGATACACAGAATAACGGTGTGTTCCTGCGCATGCAGCTGACTGACGGTGACGTCACGTGGGACAGAACTGTTAGTATTAAATGGGAAATAGTGTTTGAAATTCGATATATCGCCGGTTTTAGATTTTATGCAGTTACTTAAGCTTTATTGGTTATTTTATAATATATTCGTTTACAAATATGAAGGTTTAAGGTAAATAATACTAATAAAAATATTAATTTTTTTCATAAATTCTACGTATTTTGTGACAAAATCCATAACCTGGATAGGACAAATAAAAAATATGGACTAAAAATATAAGTTTGACTGAAATTTGTACTTTCTGGGAGTGGTAGTTCCTTTTAAATTTATTTTCTTAGTATGCAGAAACAAATTATTTTTTTATAAAAAGCAAGTACACAAAAAATAATTTTTTATTTGGTAAATTTAAATATTTTTTTGCCAAGTTTACTTTGAAAATATTCAAAACCAATTTTTCTATTCATGTATCTTATTCTTATATATGTTCCTGTCCTGCTCTTGCATAGTATTTCTTAAAAAGGGACCGTTGTATTGGGACAGGAAACTACTGCTTTATCTGCTAAAATTTTAAAATAACTATTTTCTTTGCTTAATAAAGCCCCATGCACCTGGTGGAATTCAGTTTTCTTCTCTTGCGTTTATGTTTACCACTTTCCTCAAAGTAGATAGGGCAACTTCATGCTAAAATAATATTTTAGCAACGTTTCACTGTCTCTAAACCTATTACACTTGTGCATTTTACTAACCATTATTGTTTAAATTAAGTTTGTCCTTTCTATGATAAGAATTTATCCATATTTTGTAGCATTCGAAAATATCTTACATTACACTATTTTTGAATTTCGCATTATGGATTTTGCAAGTCTCTACCGCGCAGCCCGGCCATTTAAATATTAATTCAGTTCTTCCCTATTATATATAAAAAAAATATAGTCACTACTAACACAAAAACAAATAAATTATTTTACACTATTCAATCAAAAAGTGTCAAAATAACTTGAAAGTTCGTCCCGAATTACGTCACTGCGCGGTTTGGACGAAATTTGAATCGAAAGTCAGTATACCGTTAGTGGTAGTATGTGTATCGTGGGCAAACAATAAATATTGTGTATATTTGGCGAATTTTGAATTCAGTTCGAGCTTTTAGGTTCGGTGTTGCCGTCTCTACAGATAGTTTGTGAATCCACAGACAAAGCTCATAGTAGCGTTGGAAATAGTTCGTTTCTAAAATACATTTCTACAAAAAATTTATTCCTAATGAAAGTTGTTTCTATTACAAAATAAAACAAAATTCACAGAAAAATAAATAGGGTGGGCATAAAATTGCTATAAAATAGGTAGTGTTACAGAATAAATACAAAATCCGAGCGCGAAATTATGAAACGAGCTTGTCGATTTTGGTCTGAAATTATAACATAACACACTTTCTAAAAAAATTATCCTAAGTTCAGCTCCGAAAATCTTACAGTTGGAAAAAATTAATAGGTACCGATTTTGCTTAAATAGTGGAGAAAAAGACATTCCTATAGCAAAAATCAAGGGCGCTAATGGCGTTTTATAAAAGGCTTTGAGCTCATTATGAAACCCAAGTTTAAAACCCCATTTATAAACAAATAATTTTCTATACTGTAATGTGCAAATAAAAGGAAAGAATGCCACCCTTGGCAACGTTGTAATTTTATGTGTTGTCATCAAAATAAGTGATCTGTCTGTGGTTGTCAATGTCATTGCGAATGCGAATCAAAATGTGGAATCAAATAACAAATACATGTTTATTAGTAAATGAGGCATTCCAAACAAATGAAGCGCGGTTCTAAGGTTTGGAATCTCTAAAGGGTTGCGACATACGATGTAGTCTATTTACAATACGTGAAATCAAAATTAATGAATTAAATTTAAATATTTTATGTCAAGCACAATGAAAATATTATTTTTATAGAAACCGTTTATGCATTTTCTATAAATTGGCAGGCTTGGCGATTACTATTTCAAATAGAAATAGCGTCCAATATTAAAGGCTATGTCGCAATCCCCTTAGATTTATGAGCCCTTCCAACTGACAACTATTGTATGACAGGTCTTTGGAATATCTAATTGTGTGAGAATAATCACTGTGACTTTAATAAATCGACAAAGAAGTGGTTTTTATTATGGGTCGAGTACAAATAAAAAAACAGCAAAAGATTGGTTGGATTACGTCACGTTTTGTGTTGTACAAGTCTTAAACTTGTACGATTATATATATATATATATTGAGCGTTTAGAGGCCGCATAATTAGGTTATCATTGGACGAAGACTGTTCAATACAGTATATCTTAAATTTCCAAAATAAAAACTAAAACAAATAATATATTTACCTACATATATTTATACGCTTTTCTATTTATGAATGTGTGAAGGCTATAGAATAAAGTGTTCATAAAAAGTAATTATAATTAAAATAAGCTCAAAAAACTAGAAACCGTGTTAAACTTATTAAATAAAAACCGATTATATATAGAAATCTAATTTTGTTAGTCATCAACGGCCAAAAATGGTACGTCTAGATGTTCTTATACGAGAATTGGTAGACTATGCAACCACAAATGCACAGAAATGTATTTCAGGCTGCCTAACAATTTCTTTAAAGGGGGGGGGTTATGGCGAAGACGTAAGGGACGAGGATTTTGAGGTTATGTATGAAATTGACGGAGCTGATGGGTATAGAACCCTCTTAATATCTCTAATAATAGGTCCTTTGAACCATGTGGGGTATTTTCTTGCAGTTGGAACATATTTGGGAATGCATATATCCATCATACCATGTAGTTGTTTATAAAATAACTTACATGCAGTTTCAATATTATTCACATTATTGAGAAAAGACCAGTCACATGAAGCTATTAGTTGATATAACATCATATAATTAGCTTTACGAAAGTTATACTGTAAATTTTTATTTACTGGATTAGGTTTACTACGAGGATTAGATATTTGAAAATTAATATTCAAAGCAGGATGCGAGACATCTTCAGGAACCATCAAATCATATACCCTTTCAACAGTGCATGATTCATTACAGAAAACTAAGTCCAATAATCGATTGTTTATGTTAAATATATTATTATATTGTTTGAAATCGTGGAGATTTACGAAAGCATTTAATTCAACTAGCTGACCAGTGAGAGGTGCCATATTAGCATACTGGGGAACATTAAAGTCTCCTAAAACAAATACTTTCTCGTAATCAACAAAATTTAAGGTGGAGAGACAATCAAATAAGGCTTCATAATCAACAACTTTAAGACTTGGAGGAATGTAAACAAGTAGTATTAATATTTTGTAATAATTTAATGTAATCGTAGTGCCTAGAATATCAATAATTGGAATAATATCGCTAATAAATGTTAGATCTATTTCATTACTAATAAATTTTTTATTGACAGCTAGCAAAACACCTCCACCGTAATTTAATTTAACTCGAGAAGCAGATCTATCCTTTCTATATACATGATAATTATCGGAAAATATCTCACAGCTACGAAAAGATTCGTTTAACCAAGTCTCTGTCAATGCTACAAAATCAAAATCGGACTGAAGAGAAAACAAGTAAACGGTATTTATTTTAGTTCGAATTCCACGGACATTCTGATAATATAGATAGCAGGTCAAGTTTTTATTAAAAATATTAAATGAATTATTTTGCGGGTGTAGAGCTGTACCACCAATGGTTAATACATCCGACTGACTCATTTGCGATTGCTATGCTACATAAAGTGAGGATTTTAACTCATCTATATGACGTTGGTAAGAATTACAATGGGTGTCCCATGCAGCATGATTTACATTAATTTGAACCAGAGAATCCCGTTCCATCACCTTTACACAATTTATACATTTTAATTCATCAACTGAAGCCTTACATTCTTTTACAGCATGTTTTTCTGCACACCTTGGACAATATATAGTACTACTGGGACAATTTTTTGAAAAATGATTAAAACCATTACATTTATAACACCTCTTAACAGATACACAATCATAAACAGAGCAGACATCAAAGCCAATAAATAGCTTACCTTCACCATTCGTCATGATATTATTATATGATGCAACATCAACCTGCAAAGTTGCTTGATAAATTTTTCTATTCTTCTTAGTGCAAGATATATCTAAAACTTTACATTCAATAGAATTAGAACAAAATACAGATTTATTTTGATTTAAAACGTAATGTTCAATTTTTTCACTATCTAATTCAGCCGACATTCCTACAACTCTTATTTTTGGTTTTATTCCAACCACATCCTTGATTTCATATTTTTCCATTAGATTAGAACCAGCAAGATTTTTTAATGTGGAAACTCCAGATTCAGAAGAGCAACCAATAACTAATCCCCCATCTCTAATATTCTTAACACTGGAGATCTGAATATTGGAGCCTACCGGATCAATCGCATTTAAAATATCTGCTTTGGTGACAGAATTATTTTGAGAAGAATCTTTCGGCTTGATTATAATTGCAGAGCTACTTTTAAGTTTCGTGGAGTACAAATTATTATTTCCGGTACTGGATACAGAGGTCGCAGTAGTATTAGAGCATACACTAGGATTCACGTTAATTTCAGTAATTTTTTGAACAGCAGCCATTGATATTTTCTCCTTCAGATCTTCTTGTAAGTCTTCTAATCTCTTTGAGACTAATTCTGTTAGGTTATTGGCAATATCTTCAGTGAGTTTTTTCGCCAATGATGAAATCTCTTTCATAACCTTTCCTACTCCTTCCTCAGCTAAGTTTTTGACATACTCAGGATTACATGATTTTAGGACTGCATAACAATCAACGCAATACCAACCAAGACCAGGAATCTTACCTAAATATTTTGTAACATCAACTGGTACATTACAGCAGGGCATATGAAATTGTCGTTTACAGACACCATAGCAGGAAAGGGTCGCCGGCGAAGTCCGAGTAAACTTTTCCTTGCATATTCCACATGCCATATCTCTTCTCGCACTTAAAGATTTTCTTATTGTACATTACCAATAAGTGATATATTTGTTATTAACGCCACTTAGAAGTAATCATAAATTAATAAACAATAAATTATCAGAGCACATTTACGCACGACTCGACTCGGCAACGCAATCGACTATATACGAGCCCTTCCCACGGGCAGCTATTAGGCATTCCAAACAAAATGGTTGCACGTAGGTAATGACAGGCGACTGACAGGCCCGTGATAGATTAGGATATGGCAACACTGTGGGTCTGACGATTTGGCAGTGTCAATATTACATTACAGGTTTGCCATATCTAAACTGTCAGTTTCCACCATAGAGGTATAATACTAATGGAGATGCCATGAGGCAATTGTTTTGCATATGATACGTTTTATTAAAAATTACCCTACTGCGCGTGGCTTAAATGGTTAACTAAGCAGGGTCGTATTTAAATATAATTAAAGTCCGTATGCAGAATTACAACTTTTATATGACTTACTTACCTAAGATTTGTTTCAACATGATCGATTCGAAATTAATTTGATGACATTGCGCAATTATGACTTCTACACTATTTACTATTATTTATTAACCATTTTCCAACCAAGCCAATGCCAAGACCATAAAAGAGATTAATATTATTATATTGTTCTGTCTTCGCCGAAAGCGTCCGATATATGACCTATGTGATCGAAAATCAACGTTCGAATAACACTGTGCATCAGATTTGTTCATCTCTTTGTGCTTTAAAACTAAAACCCGAACTATGATTTTTCGTTCAAGGACTCTCTTGTCTTGATCAAAGCTGCCAATGTCAAAATCTGACAATGAGGCACAAGCATGTGCAATGAGGAGAATTATGACATCAAATTACCAAACCAAAAACCAAACCACTTCGTGAATTGTGAATAAATATATTTCAGTAAAAATACAGCTGAGTTTGTAAAAAGGACAATTAATTACTTTGAAATGTAAAACATGTAAGTATTTCTGCTGCAGATGACATACATTAAAAATATGACCCGCTACAGTCAAAAGTTTAAAAAGACCAAAAATTCAGCTAGGTATGACTCTGTCAAAACCAATCGGAACTAAAAAGACTCAGATAATAGTTGTTGGTTTTATTTATGTTTGAAATAATTAATTATATAAGGTAGGTACATATATTACTAAAATTGCAAGCAAGTACTTACTAAAGATTTCTATAATTGGTACCTATGTATAATAAACAACAATCTCACAGATACACAGCATACAACTATACAAATGGAATTATAGAGATAATTTATTTTAAAAATAGGCATTCAGTTGCGATTTGTGATTACAAAAAGAAAACTTTAACCACTTTTTCTGATCAGTAATGTTAGTGTTATAGTCAAAAAGTTTCTAGAAACTGGTGTTTTTAATCCTAATAAAGCATTGCGAATTTCCAAGAAAAGTGCATGATGAAAATTATTTTGACCAAAATTTTGAATGTCATGGCATTTAAAAGGAAACCCTGTAACTGTGGATAACATTTGACACCTGTTTGGTTGCATTGGAAGAATAATTTCTTCATTGGTACTTTTTTAGGGTACAAGGATGACTTGACATTACTAAATTTAAACCTTTGTTATAAGTTGTCTTTTTGCTTTAATTTCTGATACACCTGTATTGTACATACTTGAAAAATATAAAATTGTTCAAGTGGGAAGTTTATATACAAGGTGTCTCAATGAGAAAGGGATACAGAACAACTGAAGAGTCTGATTAAAAATAAGACTATGCTTAGAATGCGAATATTCTTCATTTTAATTTTGAAGTTTCTTATAAGTTCCCAACAAAAGTACCTATATGATTTACTTAAAAAACATTAAAAAATATACAATTATAGTTCAAATAAGTGTAACGTATCTTATGACACCAAAAACTTTTGCCAAATTTGGTAAAATTTTTCAGTTTTTCTGTGTCCCATTCTTAATAAGACACTACAAAAAAAATTTTATTATTTAAAAAAATATTTATTGACCTTTAAACAACACTATTTTGTTTTGATGTCTTATGCTAGCAGCTTTATTAACTCTAGTTTTAGTGAGATATGTTAGTCGGATACTAACATATTTATCAACTATGCACTTGATTAATAATATTCTATGATTATCCAACACAAACTGGTCCAAACGGTGCTGCATAATATTCGAAAATACATTAGAATTTATGAATTCTTTTAAAACTAATGTGCTGATGATATCAACTGATATTTTTTTCTTAGAGTCTTTCATAATTTTTAATATTTTTTCACATTTTAAACAAATGTTTATTACATCTTCCGATGGATATTGCAAACCATTTTTATTCTTTATATCAATGAATGAAAATAGAAACAAATCTCTAGTTTTACTTATTAAAGCATCTAGACAATGTTCACAAATAATTTTCTTTTTTAAATAATAAACAACATATCCCTAAATGTAAGTGATTATATATTTAGAAAAGGAGGAGACTGGATCTGGTAAATAATCATGATCATTTTCAATAACATTCACTTTCTCAAAATCGTCAATATTATCAGAAATTGCATATTCCTTTGAAGTAACATTTAACTGGCTTGTTATATTGCACTTTAAAATAGTTAATTCCTCCAAAGGAATACAATTTCCACGGAAACTATCTCTTAATTCAACATGAACTAAATTTTTTTTATATGCAGACTGAAATTGCCTAACTGTAGGATTTTTGTTAAAACCTCCATGAGACCGTATTGAACAAAAAAATAATTCTAAATTGTCTTGTGAAATTTTGTACAAAGGCAAAAATTTTAAAAACTTATTTTCTACAATTAAATTATTGTATAGTAATTTTAGGCTTGCAATGCATATTTTTAAACCTAGAAAGCCAGTGGATCTATCATAATAATAATTGTAGTGTGGTACATGAGCGGGCATTTTATTTTATATCATGAGGATGAGGAGGTACATAGCAGTGAGTGATGGCCACAAATCTAATTAAATAATAAAAATACATCACCATTATTTATTATTATACAGTATATTCATTATCAAAACGGTATAATAATAGGAAATTAGGATCTAATAAAAACTGCTTTTAAATACTTGAAATTTTATTCTAAATTATGTGTTACCTAAAAAGTTAGTCATTTAAGTGTAATTATAAGTTGGTTTTTAAGTTTAATTATAAGTTGGTTTTTAAGTTTAATTATAGTTGGTTTTTAAGTTTAATTATAAAGTTAGTTATTTAAGTTTTATTATAGTTATCTAAGTTTTAATATAGTTATTTGTCTTTATTATAAAGTTAGTCAAGCCAATGTTCTTTATTAAGTTAGTTATTTAAGTTTTATTGTAAATAAAGTGTATACTAACTAAACATTCATTTATTGTCGGAACAGCATTCTTCTTCAATCTGACCCTAAACTAACTCTTATCAAAAAATTCTTCCTTGAAGTGAATAGAGCACAACATGCTATTCGGTTTAGGCTCAAATTGGTCTTTTCCCACAAATTTAGACCAAATTTTGAGATATTGTGGGTCTTTTGGAAACCTATAATAAAAAAAAGTTAAGCATTCTAAAAAAAATTCTAAATACACTCTTTATTCTTACTTATGATAACTTAAATTATATATTTTCTTACGCTCTTTCACTGAAGAGTTTTTACAATTAATTTTGGCACACTTAGTGATGATTTTTATATAAATTAATAAAAAAAAAACACTTCTTAAGATAGAAATAACGTCGAAATATTTAAATTTGAACAAAGTTCTGACAGCTCTTTGACAACTATGACATGACCACTAAGAGAGGGGGAAGGGGTGTCGTTTTTTTAGCATGTCATCTCCATAGTATTCAACCTCATTGGTTCCCACTGACAGCATTTTGACAGGTCGTTTTAAAGCCTAATTGTTTGACAGCTATTTGGAATGCCTAATACATAGGTTGACACTTTTGATAATTTAATTTTTCTTTTAATATCAAAAGGCCTTAAATAAAAGTGCATTTTGTTTCATATCTTAACTTTCATTTGGATTAGGTGGACTAGGTAGACTCTATTTCAATAATAAAAAATAGTACAACAATTATATGACAGCAAAATGGAAAAAAGTGTCGTAATATTCTGCATTACATTGTAAATTTGATGGGACTTTAAATTTGTAGAACACAAAGTTAGTTTGTAAAATCAAAAATAGTTCTTATTTAATAATTGATTAATAAATAAATATAGTTGTAAAAAAAGAAAAAATCAAGAATAGTCAATGAGAGTATCACATAAATGCCGAGCGGCCGTAGTCATCCTAAACAACTATGCCTTTGGCTAATACCGCAATAATTATTGAATTATATCAAAAGCAGAAATACAAAATTATTTTCAACATTCTAACGAGCATTCTAACTTTGAGTTTTCTTACAAATAAGAACATCATTCTCGGTTTTTTCTTTATTAGGACTCATCAGCAAGTAATAGACATTCTGGATTCTTTAAAGAAATCTGAAGATGCATTAAATCTCCTCGTACAAGAGATTATAATCATGTCAGATACCTAACCACCCATAAAAGCTATCAGCTCTTTCGTAATTAGCCTGAAAATGGTGTGAAGTTGCCTAGAAAAATTGAATTAACTAGGCGAGGGAAATTATGTTACGTTTACTTGGGTCCTAATACAAAATGGCATTTCTTCTAATTTACTAAAACCAGAACAGATCGAAATATTCTATCTGTCTGATCAAGAAGAGAATTTACATAGTAACAGGGATCCTTACCGAAAGCGTAAATAGGAAAGTTACTTTAATTCGTCTGCCAGGCAGTGACCAACTAGACTAGGGTTTTTATGCGTTATTTCTGCAGAAAACCTATTTGAATATAGCCCCCTGGATGGTGCCGTATTGGAGTAGGATTTTTAGGTCTATAGGTACGCGGCATAAGCTTTGTTTTGGTTCACTTTCGTAACTGTTCTAGAACTCTTCCAGAACCTTTGGAGCATGTGTAGTAGATATTTGCTGTTTTGGTTTCGCCAGAACTGTTCCGAACCTGCAAGTTCTGTGTTTTGGTTTTCCTTGGAAATGGTTCCATAACCATTCTGGAACAGTAACGTCGGTTCTGGCCTAAAGCGAGAACTGTTTCAGAATTGATATGTTTTTGCTTGCGATTTTTTGCAAATA